TACTACTATATATGAAAAAAAAAAAATAAACTTTTTTGTTTTGTATCACAGATTTAATAAATTTATGAGGAATGTTTATTCAATTTAAGGACTCAAACATTATAACGATGATTTTAATTCTGAATTTCAATTATTTTTAATTAGGCCATATTACGTATAAAGAAGACATACTGAATTTTTACTTTATCTAATGTCAGTCTTCAATAAACAACCTCTTTAGAAAATCGCACTAAATCATGCTATAACAACAAAAACTAAGAATTTACAATTGTAAAAGAGAAAGAGGCACCTGAGATATAAAAAATAAATAGTTAGCCATGGTAACCACATGTAAAAGAACAATGTTGTTCAGAATATTTTATAAAAAATGGTACATAATTTTCTAAACGTCCCATCAATCGACACAGCATAAGCAATAAGTTATGGCAACAAGAAATTTAAACTAATTTTAGGTAAGCATATTTATTGAGTAATTAGAGTAAAGCTTTAAATGGTAACCAATTGATTTCTTATTCATTTACAATCTGTTTATTGCCCTTTATTTTAATGATAAATTTATTTATTATTTGCCAAGTTAAAAAACAAAAATAAAAACTTTGAGCATTTTGAACCACACATTTAAACACTTAACGATATAAATTGTTTTTTTGAAAGCAAATTATGCATTTTTTTTAAAGACATTATGTATAGTGATTGTTTTGTGAATTACAAACGGATGGCTAAATCGTTGTATTTGGTGCATTTTAATTACTAGATTTGTCTTTTTGTTTGTAGAGGAACCGAACAAAGGCCGCAGAATAACTATTCGATCATTAAAAATTGTTAGAAAGCTTTAGTAATTATTTGATTAATATACAGTTGCTTTACTTTTCTGGTGAATGTTCGTCTTCGACTTCCTGGATTACAGAATCCTCTTCAATACGTTGTTTTTGACGTAACAGTTCGTATCTTTTCTAAATAAAAAAATGCAGTATAACATTTAATTAATTATCATACTTTAATTTTATTAACTGCAGAGAGATAATTTAAATTTTATCGGTATTTTGTGTTCCAAGTCATCAATTATTTAACAAATTGTGGCGGGAATTTTATTTTTAGGGAACAAAAATAATAATTTGTGAATATTTTCATGATCTAATTTTAATCGCTTTCTTTTATTAGAATCCAATAAAAGCTAATCAAAATCAAAAGTATATCTCGTAAATAAGTTTTTTTTAATACTGCCCAGCAAATAAAAATGTGGGACATTAGATAATATGACAGACGTGCAACACAAGTAGGAAATTACTTAAAGGAGTAACTTTATCATATTCCAAAAAGCATTTACAATAGACACTCAACATTGTGAACATGGCATAAGGAAATCCGCGCATGAATTTCAAAATTGTGTTATTGATGAATATCAAAGCGTAAAGGTTTTGAAAAAGTCTTGAACTGTTTCATTAGAGCTATAGACGGTAGTAGCCCAGTAATCGACCAACCATAAGAGAAAGTGTTTGTTACATATCAAATATAACACTAATTGACTAAATAAATTGATAATGCGAACAACTGTTGTTTCTTTTTCGGTTAATTCTATCGTCTGTCTACTGCATGTTTATTTATACTGTAAAATGACCCTTTTGTCAATTTCTGTTTAGA